GCATTTTGTATCCTAAAATATTAGTTTTTATAAATCTAGTCATCTGTTTTAAGGCTCTACAAGTTTCCCTCCCCCCCCTCCACCCGACCCTGAACCAATAAGAAACAGCATTTTTTGATTTGGGGCATTAAAGAACTGGAATTCTTCTCATTTCACAGTCAGAAGTCTACTATTGCGTCTCCTGCCCACCATCCCAGCGTGAAAACCTGTTTTGTTTGTTTGTTTTTAAAACGGAAAGACAGATTCCCTCCCTCGGTTTCAACATTTTGCATTGTGTTTGGTCAGATAACTGGAAAGCCTGAAAAACAGAAAGTCTCTCGTTTTAATACTACAAAGGTGTGTCCATCCAGTTAAGCAGTTCTCCTGCATTGACCCTGGAAAACACGGGTTGTTTCCTAGAAATGTTTTGTCCGCGGCCTGCAGTGATCTCCCCATTGGATAACCACCAGGTGCTCCAATGCTTTATTTCTTTCTTTTTTCTTTCTCTTTCTTTCTTTCTTTCTTTCTTTCTTTCTTTCTTTCTTTCTTTCTTTCTTTCTTTCTTTCTTTCTTTCTTTCTTTCTTTCTTTCTTTCTTTCTTTCCTTCCTTCCTTCTTTCCTTCCTTCCTTCCTTTTCTTTTTTCTTTTCTTTCTATGGCTCCTACAAATCGGAAAGCTTTCTGGAGTGAGGTAAAAATGTTGGGCTTTCAAGCAAAGTACATGGTACGTAAAGTGTCCTGATGAACTTGCACAGCCTTGGCGAGAGCTTGAGGGTCTCGGCCGTTGCTCTGGCCGGAGATGTGGCTGCCTTCTCCGCTAAAAGGGGCAACAGGGAAAGGAATGGGGGGGAGGACGAAACAGAGCATTAATTAGAACACAGAAGGGATGAAGGTAGCAGATTGCCCTGGGCAGGGAAACCACTGTCAGCAAAAATGGCCCAGCTTTATTCCAGGGAACTTTTTAAGACTTCAACTCCCAGAATTCCCCAGCCAGCATCTGAAAAGTTGCCATAGTTGGGAAACACGGCTCTAGACCAGGGCTTTTCAACCAGTGGTACGGGTACCACCTGTGGTACATTGGCACCTGGCACGTGACCATCCTAGAAAAGTGGTAGTGGGGGAGGGAAATGAGCTGAACCGGTGGCAGCACCGCACAAGCCTGAGCGAGAGACGGCTGGAGCTGCAGGGCTGTCAGGGCTCAGTGGAAGCGCCAGGATCAGTGCCAGGCTCCAGCTGGAGCTCGGCACTGATCCTGATGCTTCTGCTGAGCCCAGAAGAAGCGCCGATCAGCTGGAATGTTGCAGCCTCTCCAGGGTCTTGTGATTTACATTCAGATGCTTGGCAACTGGTTCATATTTATGATGGTCACAGTGTCCCAGGGTCATGTGAAGTGACCAAAACCTGCTGCAACCACCCAGCAGACGGGGGGAATAAAAACCAAACACCCAGCTACGGCAGAGGTCCGCAACCTTTTGGGCACCTGGGACCGGTTCCGTGGAGAGAGGTTTTTCCGCGGACCGGAGGGTGCATGTTTTTTTGTGTGCTGCCTGCATCCCACGGATAGGGCTTTGCTTGTTTGTGCGGACCGGTTGCTGGCATGCCAGCGCCCAGTACTGGGCCACGGCCCGGGGGTTGGAGACCCCTGAGCTACGGTACTCACCTGTCATGCTCTTTGTCGACAAGGTGATATCGCGCCCGGAAGGCCACCAATCGGGCATAGTATGCTGGTGCTGGGATAGAAACAGAGCGGGTACAACGAACGTAGGTGTGGCAAAGCTGGTAGGTGAGGATCTGAAGCTCATCTGCTGTGAACCGGTTATCGTCCCAAAGCACGTAGTAATGGGAGGGTCTGCTCGTACCCTAGAGGAGAAGGAATGAAATGGAATGAAAGAGGCGAGACGCATTCCCAGCACAACCATGAAAGGATGCTTAGGTGGTGTTGCAGGACAGAAAGATATATATACAGGTAGTTCTCGACTTACAGCAGTTCATTTAGTGACCGTTCGAAGTTACAACTGATTGGAAAAAGTGACTTAAGGCCTTTTTTTCACACTTACCGCCGCTGCAGTGTCCCCACGGTCACGTGATTAAAATCCAGACACTTGGCGTACCTGACTCATATTTATGTCGGTGGCGGTGTCATCCGACCATTTTTTGCAGCCTTCCGACTAGCAAAATTCAATGGCGAAGCCAGATTCCCGTTAGCAACCATGTTACTCACTTAAGAACTGCAGTGATTCCCTTAACAACTGTGCCAGGAAAAGTCGTAACACGGGGCAAAACTCTCTTAACCGTTTTCTCGCTTAGCAACAGAAATTTTAGGCTGAATGGTGGCCATAAATTGAGGACTAGCTGTTATCTAGGATAGAAAAGTCACCAACGTGGCCTTCCGACTAGCAAAATTCAATGGGGAAGCCAGATTCCCGTTAGCAACCATGTTACTCACTTAAGAACTGCAGTGATTCCCTTAACAACTGTGCCAGGAAAAGTCGTAACACGGGGCAAAACTCTCTTAACCGTTTTCTCGCTTAGCAACAGAAATTTTAGGCTGAATGGTGGCCATAAATTGAGGACTAGCTGTTATCTAGGATAGAAAAGTCACCAACGTGGAAAGTTCTCAGGTTATATAGCCCACATCTCTCCCTCCAAGTGCTCCTAAAAGTACAATTTCTGCAGCACAATCCATTGCGCTCTCCTGCTGGTGAATTTGCAAACATCTCCAGGGTGACATGAAGCCTCTTGAGTATCTAGCAAACTCTCGTTCGTGCTGGGAGACAATCCCAGCACTTCTGGAGAAGACCAGATCCACAAGCTGCTCACTAAAACCCAAACTCCTCTGCAATGTCAACACCACAGATCCTATTAGCTCATAGCAACTCCCTCTCCCTTCCTTCCTTAATAATAACAATAATAATAATAATAATAATAACAACAACAACAACAACTAGGAACTGCTTCCATCCTGCGACGATATCTGTAATACCATCAAACATCCACATCTGCCTATCCCAGGTCCTGGGTAAGGACTCGATAGGTAGACAAAATGCCAAATCCAGTCTGAACATCTGGCTGACTGTGCGATGATCCATAATAATAATAATAATAATAATAATAATAATAATAATAATAATAATAATAATAA